GTTATGGGGTCAAGTGTTTGCAGAATAGATTGCTTTAATGGTAAGATTGATTTGGAAGATGACTTGAAATGGTGAACTGTTTTAATGTTTATTTACAATTGTTTTTAATGTATGTTAAGGGTATGTTATGCTTTGTTATTTATTGTTCGGCATCGAATTGTTCCTGTTGGTAGCCGTCTTGAGTCTCTTTTTGGAGGTGAGAAGGATGGGATAGAAATGCTCCTAATAAATAAATAAAATAATAGCTCTGTAGGCAATGGATTATATCACTAAATTCTTCTTAGAGTCAAAAAACTCCTAATGTTATTTAGACAGGTGGATAAAGAGACTAGAATGGGAAGATTATGCATAGGTAGTGGACAATATTAGTCAAAACCTTCACCTAATGGTTTTAAGTTTTAAGAGGGTAAAGCTGAACTCTACCCTCTTAAAACTTAAAACCATTATGTGGTTTTGACTGATACTGTCCACAACCAATGCATCATCTTCCCATTCTAGTATCTTAATGCACCTGTCTAAATAACATCAATTTGTGCACCTCTCCAAGTGAGACTGTATGAAATGCAGTGCATATTTGGATGTTTTGGACTGTACTTCCAAGAAGCCCAGCTAAGCATAGTAATGTCCCAAAGAACAAGATAAGAGGTAACAGCTCCAATGCTGCTTCTAGCAATACTGTGTTGACACATGGAGATTCCATTTAAATACTGGTAACCAAACATCGTAGATTAAGCCTATCAGTTGTCTATAGCCCTCTCAAAAATAAATGTATAGATAGCCGTGCTTTAACCTTGAATTACCATGGACGCCAACCCTAAATGTGGCATGCTCCAACTTTGTGCCCTCGAAATGTGTTGCAATCCACCTTTCCCTAGGCTGGGAGCTTCTGGGAGTTGTCGTTCAACATGTTTGGAGGGCACTGTCTGATGGAAAACCACCAGAAATCATAGAATCATAGAATCTTAGAGTTGGAAGAGAATGAATTGAACACCCCTTCCTTTCTATTTTCAGTACCACCAGTGGAGACAAGAAACAATGGAAAGAAGTGCCCCGGATGCCATTCCTGGTCAGACTCCTGCAAAGCAAAGATGGTGGATTGTACTGGAGGGGATCTCAAATGCTTTGAGATGGCTTCACATGTTGAATTAGCTAGTGAGTGATTTCACATTAATATCCAGGCTATCTTACTGCTCCCCGATTTTGCAGGTGGTCAGTACTGAGCTAGAACAACCAGATGCCTGTGCCTTCATTTTCTTTTAAGTGTGGTCTTTCTCTGTGGTCAAGTGAGCCCATCACAGATTATGGGTTGATGCAGGTGCAAAGATATGCGTATGTGAGTGAGACACACATCGGGTGTGTGATTAAGATAGAAAGTGCAGAAACCATGGTAAGCTCTATTGCAAACTGTCATGAAGTGCAAGTGAACTGACACAATAGCAAACTGGGGATGGGGGTGGGGACAAGTACCTCCCTGACACCAATCCCCATCACTTTCATAGCCATGCCCATGCTGCGTTTTGAAACCCATCTTTTCCCAATCCACAAATCCACTTTCCTCCTCCTCACATTGCCACCCTTCTCAGGGTGGATCCAGACAGGCCTTTATCCCAGGAGAATTTGTGTTTTAAAAATGTGGATCTTCCTGGGGGCTTGTCCACACCCACCCCAGAAAGCGCACACTTTCTGGGGTGGGTGGTCAGATGCTCTTGTGGGACTCGCCCGTGAGAACATCTGGAGGTTCTCCCCCTCCCCCAAAGCCCCCAGACCTCCTTGAAAAGTAAAATAAACTTACTCAGCCTCCAGTACACTCTCGGAGCAGCTCTCCTGGTGTGTAGAAATGACTCGCCAGGAGAGAGGGCGGGGGGGAGAGCAATGCTTGGTCCCCAGAGCCATGTTTTGACCTTTTTTCTAAAGGAAAGGAGTAAGGGAGTTGCCCTAATTTTGCTGGGGAGTGTGTTCCATAGGTGAAGGTCCACTACCGAGAAGGTTCTGTCCCTCGTCCTTACCAACCGTGCTTGCAAGGGTGGCAGGATCGAGAGCAGGGCCTCTCTTGATGATTGTAAACTCCAAGGTGGATCATAGAGGGACAATTTCGGACAAGTAAGCTTGGCTGGAACTGTATAGGGCTTTATAGATGAAAACCAGCACATTGAATTGTGCTCAGAAGTGGACCGGCAACCAATTGAGCTGATATAACAGGGGTGGTGGTGTGCTCCCTGTATGTCGCTTCAGTGAGTAATCTGGCTGCCAACCATTGGACTAGTTGGAGTTCTTCCAACTAGTCCAATGGTCTTCAAAACAGTCTTCAAAAGCAACCCCACGTAGAGTGAGTTGCAATAATCTATTTGGGATGTAACAAGAGTGTGGACCACTGTGGCCAAGTCTGACTTCCCAATGTGCGGGTGCAGCTGGCGCACAAGTATTAACTGTGCAAAAGCTCCCCTGGCCACTGCTGAGACCTAGGGTTCAAGGCTCAACGATGAATCCAGGATCACCCCCAAGCTCCCAAGCTATCACTATTGCTCAGTCCTAAATCTTGATGATTCAGCTTTGCTTGTCATTGGACATGCTTGCTGGGCATGTGACAACATCTGGAGAGCCACAGATTCTCCAGGTTTGACTTAGCATAAGATTACAGTTTTCAGAGCTTAAGATAATCTGGAAGGCCTTGCTCTCAGTCCTGCCTTCTTCACAGGCGAGACTGGTGAGGATGAGAGACAAGGCCTTCTCAGTGGTGGCCCCTCAGCTGTGGAACTCGCTCTCTTGGAATATTAGATCAACTTCCTCCTGACCTTCCATAAAAAAGTGAAAACGTGGCTTTTTGATCAAGCCTTTGGTGATCTTGTGTAATAGATAAATACGGAATTGGGCAACTGAATGTTGGAACGGTTCAGACTATGACTTTGGATAACAAGGTAACAAACAATACTTCACGCTAACAGTGAAGGTATTGTTTGTATGTGTTTTGAATGTCTTAATGTATGCATTTTATTATTTTTATTTTAAATGTTTGTTTTACTTGCACTTTGTTCTGAAGGTATCTAATGGTTGTCCGGCTATGAGTCCCCTTTGGGTTGGACAAAGGTGGGGTAGAAATGCCATAAACAAATTTCCATTAAGACTCAATGTGGCAATGGCAGAGGTCCTTTCCAGCAAACCAAACCAAAGAGACCATATAGATCTTTGCTTAGAGAACCGTTGCTGGTGTTGAAAATTCTCTTGATCTCTTGACCACCCATTTTTCTCCTGTGTGCAGATGGAAGCCACATAGACCGAACAATGATGGGCTGCACAAATAAGTTTGTCTGTGATACAATAGAAAAAGAACGTGCCCGGTTCTGGTTTGGTTCTGATAATATCCAGAAGGCCCGATGTGAAACAATGCGTTCTCAGGGATGTCGACCCACCAGCTTCCTCCTGCCACCCTTCTCTGCTCTCTTGCTGATGAAGATCTTCATGTAGAGCACACTTGCCTAGCGCAATTACTCTGTGTTCAATCAGAGCTCCAAGGTTCACAAGCTCAATGTAAACTGCCTGCAGGTTGGCCTTGCAGATGAATTTGCTCTCCTTTCCTCAGGGAAAATAAACACCAAGCTTACAAGAACCTAAACCAAGAATGTGTGGTGTTTTTTTTCAAAATTGTGACGTTATCAGTGGAGACTGGTGGAAGCATATTTCATTAATTTCATGAAACCTTAATGTGTTGTAAAGGAAATTAAGAAATGTGAATCTAATTTTTTTATTATTAATAGTTCCAAAGTTGTTGATAAATGTTATAATTGTACTCTTGACAGTAAAAGGGGATTAACTGACAGACGAACACATTTTGGTTCCTCAGTTGTTAGACCTGTTTCTGGATCTATTTGACCTGCTGATTCCAAAAATGGTGGCAGTTTCCCCCTATAAACTCTAGTTTATGATAACATATGCAATATACAAGTCTTCATCTGCTCACCCATAAAAGAATCATGAAGCTAGAGCTGATGCAATTGAATTACCTTAAAAATCTCAATGCTATGCACTGCAGTTCTCGCCCTTTAAAAGAAAACCCTCCTCAACCATTTACCTTGCCACACAATAGAGCAAGAGACAGTAGCGTGAAGCTAAATGATGTGTTTTCGAAGGCTTTCATGGCCGGAATCACTGGGTTGCTTTGAGTTTTCCGGGCTGTATGGCCATATTCCCAAGAATTCTTTACATTTTGCCTGCAACCTCTGAGGATCCCTGCCATAGATGCAGGCAAAACATCAGGAGAGAATGCTTCTGAAACATGGCCATACACATAGCAAGCTAAATGATGCCAGGATGGAGATGTCATGAGCCACACAAGAAGTATGATTGAAGAGTCATAAGGACTTTTCTCTGTGCCTTGGTGAGGGGCCCTTAGTGTTGTACCTTATTTTCAGCGAGCCCCCAGTGGTGCAGTGGGTTAAACCCCTGTGCCGGCAGGACTGAAGGACAGGTCGCAGGTTCAAATCTGGGGAGAGCATGGATGAGCTCCCTCCATCAGCTCTAGCTCCTCATGCGGGGACACGAGAGAAGCCTCCCACAAGGATGGTAAAAACGTCAAAACATCTGGCCGTCCCCTGGGCAACATCCTTACAGACGGCCAATTCTCTCACACCAGGAGCGACTTGCAGTTTCTCAAGTCGCTCCTGACACAAAAAAAAGCGAGGTCCCTTCATGAAGTAGGTGTATTAGGTGAAGTAGTCGGTGATCGATTGTAGAGCTCTCCAGTTTTTTCCATAGTTTGACTCATGAGATGCAGTCAAAGACCGCTTTAAAGTCAATTAAGTCGACGTAGAGTGTAGATATGTTTTGGGAGGAGTATTTTTCAACAAGATGTTGCAATACCAGACATTGGTCTATGGTGGATCAACCTTCCCTGAATCCAGCTTGATCTTCAGCAAGTATGCTTTCTGGTCCATCCACTCCTGGAGTTTCTATTGAAGGGGTCGACCTCCCCCCCCCTTTTTTTTTGTAGATGGGGACAATGAGTGCAAGCCTTGGGGACGCAGCGATAGTTGTCAATACATGTGAAAAGTTTTGGTTTTTATCCCACTAACCCTAAAAATGATGGGAAGGGGAGCTTATGAAGCCCCCCCCCCCCATTGCTGGCAATGGGCTGGATCTTTCTGCATTTTTTGGCTGTGGACTGAAAATGGCTTTTTGGATGTACATCCGTTTTTGGAAGGTGCACAAAAATGGATCCGCGTGTCCGCTGAAATTTAGAGAACAGAAACAGATTGCGGTTCAGCTGAAATGCACAAGCCTAACATGTATATATTTATTGGGGGGGGGGGGGTGTTGAGAGAAGGAAGACTTCACTACCTCCTTGACCAGTGCTCACCCTCCCTCCTGCTAGCAAGTTTAAACTATTAATATTGATCACACTCACTGGGAGATTCTGTGTATTGAAGTTAAAAGGGGTCACTTCTGGTTTAATGCATGTCATATTGGTGGAGGTCTATAGAGATTTGCACAAAACTCTAATTAAACATAAAAGATCAGAGGTTAACAATCTTTTTAAAAAATGGTGGCCACTCTTTCAATCTTAGAGGAAGGAGACAGTAAACCTCCTTTGAAGAAATCTTGCTAAGAAAATGATGTGTGTTAGGAACTATTCAAGCCAGAGTCAACTTGAAGGCACACAATAATCAACATTATCACCATAATCATGTTTGGACAAAGTCCCCTCTGTAGATCTTCCAGGTCCCACAGGGCTGTGATATGACCAACCAACTATGACACAGGAGGAGTCATACTATGTAAGGATGTCATGCCAACTTTTGTCATGGCAACACCTCTCTCTTCCCCCTGCTTCCCACCTTTCTGTTGTCCTCTATTCAACGTCTCAGCTTGCAACATCTCAACTTCCTGCTCATAGGTGTGTGGGGACATTTCCATCCTTTCCTAAACAGACTCTATTCTGCTGTTCCATGACATCATTCGGAGGGACAGGAGAGGCAATATTTTAGTCTGATCTAAAGGCACAACAGTATACTCAAATATTTCTTATTATTTGGTTCGAAGACACTAAAGTTTGAAGCAGCATGCAAATTCAATTGATTTAATAGTTCTACTTGGCTAGATTCAGCTACATGAGCATTTTACCAAGATACACCTTGAGATGGCTCCTGGTTGTCCCTATGATGCTTCATCCCTTCTGGGAAATATCATGAGTTGAACTGGGATTCTGACCAGCTACAAAGTTATATGCAAGTTACCTTATCATTGTGAAAATTTCGATTCCAACCTGGGCCTGGATTTACTGACTAGGGTAGACAAGGCTCTCTCTCTCCCCTCCGTCCCCATTTCTCTGAAATCTGGTGGACCTCATGCCTTGAAGGCACAATAGTAGGCTCAAATATTTCTTATTATTTGGTTCAAATACACTAAAGTTTAAAGCAGCACAATATTGGCTGGGGTTTCTCTGAAATGAATGGGGAACAAATTAGAGTGGGGTTATAAGGGTCCACACTGACCATATAATACACTGCATTATATGGCATTGTAGATTAAATATGCTTTAATGATAACTATAATGCAGTCTTGCTTTCCAAATATGCTTTCCTTGAATGTCATTACAGGGGAGTTGAATGCCATCAGGAGAGTTTTATGGATCCATCGTGCCTGCTTCTCAAACTCCTTCGATTTTTCACAGTTCTAACAACTGGTAAGTAAGATGTACGTAGTTGTCCACTGGGGACATATTTCAACTTGGATGATTTTCAAAACACTTCAATCATAGAATTATAGAGTTGGAAGATATCTATCATAAGGGCCATTCATTTCAATCCCATTCTGCCATGCAAGAATCAAAGTACTCCTGGCAGATAGCCATCCAGGCTCTGTTTAAAATCTTCCAGAGATGGTGAATCCATCAGACTCCCAGGCAACATATTCCACTGCCAAATCACTCTTACCAATAGGAAGTTATTCCTGATATTGGGTAGAATAGCCTTTTCCCCCTGCAGTTTGAATCCAATGCTCCTCATACATTTCTCCGGAGTAGTAGAAAACAGACTTGCTCCATCAAATATGTAAACAAGGCTATCATGTCCCCCTTGTATCTAGATTATGGGCGAATCTAGGGGTATCTAGATTCGCCCATAATCTTCTAAATCTGTGATTCCATATTGGATTATAGTTGAGTAATCTGAGATGTAGTTTAGAAATATGCAGCTACTAAAAGAACATTGGCTTTTCTTTGGCTACCCACCCAATGACTAATTCTTCAATCCCTAGAGGCAAATGCAACACCTCCAGATATTTCAGAGAGCATTAACTTGTCAGGGTGTGTTCTCCCCACCCAGGCCTGAGGAAGCACAGCTTTCTAAAGTCTCTTTATTCCCTTTGTTTCATCAAGCAAAATACATGTGATTCTAGGGATTACTTTCATGAGTTCAAGTCCTCCTGGGTCATTTATTTGCCCCTAAGCTTAGACTGGTGAGGGCTTAYTGTATTTAGTCTCAACTTCTTGTTTCAGTTCCAAATAGCTGCATCATTTGCATAAAGTAAGATGGAAATATGTCTTCCCACCAGTATTTTGGGGGCGGGGGGGGGGGGKAGTGGAAATCCATGTTGTGAAGATGGTCCACCATGGACTTGATGTAAAAGTTAAATAGTAGAGGGGCCAGGATGCAGCCTTGCTTGCCACCATTTCCCATTCCAACTGCCTTGATGAGRTGACCCTGAGGGTTGCTTYTTACTTTCAGTGAGGTCCCTTCATGAAGCAGGTGTATTAGGTGAAGTATTTGGTGATCGATTGTAGAGCTGTCCAATTTTTCCCATAGTTTGACTSAAGAGATGAAGTTGAAAGCTGTTTTAAAGTCAATTAAGGTGACATAGAGTGAGGGTATGTTTTGGGAGGAGTATTTTTCAACAAGATGTTGCAATGCCAGACATTGGTCTATGGTGGATCAAACTTCCTTGAACCCAGCTTGCTCTTCAGCAAGTATGCTCTCTTGTTCCAGCCAGTCCTGGAGTTTCCACTGATGATGTCTTGCCTATAACTCCTCAATACTGATTGTATTGAGGAGGCTAATGGGTCTGTAGTTTGCAGGGTCGACTTTTTTCCCTTTCAAAGACACTAAAGTTTGAAGCAGCATGCAAATCCCATTGGTTCAATAGTTCCAGTTTGGTTGGACTCGGCTACATGAGCATTTTACCTTGATACACCTTGAGTTGGCTCCTGGTTGTCCCTATGACGTTTTTTCCCTTCTGGGAAATATCATGAGTTGAACTGGGATCCCGGCTAGCTACAAAGTTATGTGTGAGCACCTGATCATTGTGACCATTTCTATTCCAACCTGACCCTGGATTTACTGACTAGGGTAGACAAGGTCCGCCCTCCCGGCCCATTTCTCTGAAATCTGGTGGACCTCATGCCTTGAAGGCACAAAAGTATGCTCAAATATTTCTTATTATTTGGTTGAAAGACACTAAAGTTTGAAGCAACACAATATTGGCTGGGGCTTCTCTGAAATGAATGCGGAACAAATGAGAGTGGGGTTATATGAGTCCACACTGACTATATAATACACTACATTAGATGACATTGTACATTCAGCCAATGTTCCAGGACT